TGGGAAACATTTCTTTAAATGAACTTCATGCATTGTGTGCTGTTGTTATAAAGGAATGGAACATTACACTTCTTATCCATCACACCCAATAGGGCTGGTAGATAAATGCTACAATTCATACCCTAAACTATACCCCAAACAAGGTAGATTTTTGCTAGAGCTTGCCAAGACCTGTTCCTGTAAGTTAAAAATGTTCTCTTGGTTCCCTTTAGAAATTTAAACACCACTCAATGTAATTGAATATATTTGCTTCTGACTATTGACCTTACATCCCCTTATCAAGATAATGGCATTTTCTTAGAAGTTGCCTTGGGTGTTTCTGCAAGGTCAAAAAGACGCAATGCACAGATAGGGATAAACCTGCTTTGAACTCCTGCATCCATTCATGCTCCAGCGGCTCTGCAACCCTGATGGCAACAAATGAAGACTGATATGTTGGGTGCATTGTGCTCAGCTTCTTAGACAACACAAAAAGTGGGTACGGTCAGAAGGAGCACACGACCACTGACAAACATTTGCCATGCTGCCTGAGCTACCACACTACTAACCCAGGTACAAACGAGCCACACAGGAATAGGGGAAGCCAACAGAGCCACATTATTGTAACTATAAAATCATGTTTGCCAGGAGATGCCCCAATCATTGCCCAATGTTGTCTTTTTAACAGAATCAACTGCATATTCAAGGGAAAAAGACCTCTTTCTTTGCCAGTAGGTTCTGAAGACTAAAAGTGGCTGCTCTTCATCTGAAGTCCTTTCTTTATGAAGGGGTTTTAGAAGCTTCAGCTAGTGTCAAAGTAAGTCTTGCTTGATGAGAACTCTAATGTTGCAGAGCTTTTGTTAAGAGGTACCTGAAAACCACCAGCAGACAGAACTTTATGTCTTGAATAACTTCTATCACTTAGACGCCACTAAGAGTCACTTACCAGTCCTTTTCTTCTGTTGAAATTATAGCCTTATTCATTTTATAATATTAGATAAAAGGGCACGTATGTTCTGAAAGGGCAGCTAACCTCAGGGCAGATTACAGCTCAACCTTTTTCTCTGAGTAACCAAGCTGAAAATCAGCAGTTATCATGGAAGCATATTGTAAAGCTGGGACACTGCTGTGAATAATGAAGCATATCAAGTGTTTTGATAAACCCAAGGAGTCTAAATGGGCCTCAAAAAGCAAAGAGAAAAAGCATTAGGACTTGTCTTCTTTTCCAAAATCTATTAGTACCCTCATGGAGTCTTCTTTTCTACCTCTTAGACCCCGACTCAAAATTCCATTTAAGAAAATGAAGAACACGATCCTGTCATCTCTTCAAAGATTTAACTTTATGGTAGAAAGATTTTATCGTTCATAGTTACCATTAAAGGTAATAATTGTGGTGCAGTTTTCTTTTGCTTGCATTTGTGTTATTTTATTAATGTCTCCCTGGTACCAGTTAGCATTACAAAAGGAATTCCAGTTCTTAACATGACTGTTAGTCTTGATTTTCATCCTCACAGCACAGATGTTTTTGGAGAAGCCTAAGGAGGAGGAAGGAATGCAACTCAGCCACTGCAGTCTATTGTCACCTCTGAACACATAGACTTAGATGGCTTTCCTTTGATGCTGCTGCCAATTTTATTCACAAGTATATGAAAAAAAGGTCACAACATTTAGAATGACAGAACTCTGGAAATTAAATGTTCCTTTACATTTTTAATTTCTGGAAGTCATTTCTCATGGAATAATATTTGAATATGATTGAGTGAATGTACAAAGATTAAAGCAAACTATCCTCAAATTGGAAGTTCACAACCACACACATTTAACCTTGTTGTATAAGAGGCATAAAAAGTTTATGTGGTACCTCCAAAAGTTGCATTTCCATTTTGCTGGAAGCATTTGCACTGTAACTCTCCTTAGTATTTTTCCACTGATATGTCTGTATAAGGCATGAGGTTTAGCTCTCTACCATTTTCTATTTCAGATTACACTATATTTGAATGGATTTCACAAACCTGGCAACTAAATAAGGAGCAGAAACTGAGTCCCAGCAGTCTACACAACTCTTTCATGCCAAGTTTTATATGAGATATCAAACTATGGATTTTTATGCCAATCTGGCAATATTAATTATCATTCTGTAAGAGGAAAATGGAACAATTTTGTGTGAAGACCAGAGAAAACACTAAGGTACCAAGCAATCACAGTGCTAGTCAGCAGCTCCAGATGGAGAGGTCTGGAGATCTGATGAAGGGGACATCACTCATGTGCTGCTATTACCAGGCTTCAGGGACTGCCTGCCATGCTCTTGTACACCTCACATGTGTCCCCTCAGGTACTAGCCAGGGCTTATTTCTCCAAAGCCCAGTGACATTACTTGTTGAGCAACTAAAGGAATCTGCCGAAAGGCAGTGCTATGGAATTTGTGGTCAGTGATTAGAATTCATAATTCCCCATAAATATAGGGAAAGCTGGCTGGCTTCCACACTGTAAAGGGCAGACACACACGACACCAAATCCCTTCTCACGTGCTGCTTAAATTGCACCTGGGTGAAATGTATCCTGGCATATAGAAATACTCATGTTTTCTCCTGGGAGCTCTTCTTTAAAAGCCTGACAAACTCTTAAATACTCAGTTTGAGTCTCCGTTATACAGGGGGTCAAGTGAAGAGACAATGTCTGAAGAAGAGACTGAAGAAGGAAGTTAAAGGAAGTCTTTAACTGAGACATCACTGGCACATTCAAAAACTCAAAAGAAGATGTAAGATAAAGCAACTTAGCCTGTTTGCTATTGATTTATTCTCAATACCAAACCCTTTTGTGAGCATTTCAGCACCTAACCCCAGAAAGAAACAGACAGGGATAAAACAAACTATTACACTGCTGTTATGTTTTTTGCACATACATATACATTCACACACACAATCACTCCCAGGCCTGCCCAAGTATTTTGTTTATAACACTATAATCAGGCTCATGAGCAGTTGCTTGCATACACTCTATGCAGGAGATGACTGGTCTCTCCAGCAATTTGAATGTTTCTATATATACACGATTTCCCTATTTCCCAGGTGATTGTGCTCCTCCAAGGGGGCAGAACACTTTCTTCATGTCACACTGAAGATGGCAGAATTGAGGCATTTAATATCCTTGTCCCAGGGCAATGCCAGGAGCAGCAGTAGCTCAAGTTTGGCCTCTTGAAAAAGCCTTCAGGAAAGCTGCTCCCCAGATCAACCAATCCATTAAATTAATGCCTTGTTGGCTGGAGTTAAAGCTTTGAATCAAGCAAAACAAAAGCCTGGGTTTCAGAATACGTATTCCCTGTCAAATTGAATTTATCAAGATAAGGGTTATTAGAAGCTTTTTTCTCTTGTGTGAATGAAATTGTAAGCTTAAAATGTCACTGAAGATTTATTAATCTGATACGCTTTCTGATAAGGGCAAAGAGATAAAAAGGGCAGAGGAAAAGAAATATTTCCTCTAGCTTGATAAGGGCTACAAGAAATAGAAAATATGAATAAGGCAATTTATCAGTGGGTATACTGTAACTGAAAGAATCAAGCCACATAAAGCAATATTACAGTTATATATTGATTTCTGAACTTTGCCATCTAAAATACTTCATCTAAGTTTGATAGTTATGCAGAAAAATGTCTGTGGTTTGCAAAACAATGGAGTAAACCTGAATTTTCAAAGTCTAGGCTGGAGAATCACTTCTTGTGTCAGAAAGTAGATGGAGATCTAACATGCAAACTGTTGTTGTGCTAGAGTACGGTGCATGGATCACAACCAGCAGCAGCATCAGTGTTTTCATCTGAAGTGACAGGGCCTGAACTAACCAGAGGAAGTGTTTAAACTTTGGCTTTACGTTTCTGTGCCTGTTACTATCAGAACATATCCATAGTGGGGAGGAGTGTGAGCTAAGAGGTTCTCAACCATTTTTGGTCAAACAGGCCACTGCTAAAGCTTCATCTTTTTCATACTCCACACGGTGCACAAAGCAAATACATTTCATTGCTTAACACAACAGAGCAAACCCTGTGTAAGTCACTGCTTTGGCTTTGTGAACTACTAAAACACACAGGAGCCCAGCAGCTGAGTTAACCCTCTCAGCACTCCTCCTAAGAAAGGGGAGACAACCCTGAACTTAAAGCAAGCTAGTGCTCCCTTTGCCCCAGATGCTCTCACCAGCACATCTGCACTCGCATCAAGAAACCACATCCAGAAGTAACAACCCTTCTCTTCCAAAGGGCTTTCCCCATAGCAGGGTGGAAACACTTAGAATCTGGCTGGGGCACTTGCCCTGATGCTGGACTTGTAGTGAGCCTCTTTTGCAAGGGCTAATTCCCTTTAGATGAGGTCACTCTGGGACAGCTTGTGCTTACTTCCTTAGAAAAGACCTGAGGGACCAAATTACCTCAGCAGGCTTTCAGACATAAATAGAGAACTCACCGGAGAGCTGGCAGGGAAAATGGCCATTTGTGTTGAGACTCCAGCCTTCGGTTTTATGTAACATTGTTTGCAATGGGCTTGTTACTGAAACAATATCCTATATAAATACACATAAGTATTTAATATATATTTGACTTCTAATGATAACATTAATAAAGATTAAAATGATAACTCAGATCCCATGTAATATATATGTGTGCCTTCAAACGACTTCCTGGTTAACACACAGACTGATTTCTTTTACCCTAAGAAGAGATGAGCCATCAAGTCGCATTTTTTCTTTCCTGTCTTCTTTTATGATGATTCAATATTTTCATTCAAAATATTTTCCCTCAGAAATGAGATCATTAGCCAGAACTCAGGTTTCCTACGAGACTACCAAGTGGGTGTTAGTTTTACAGCAGTTAAGATGTTTGAAAGCACTAGGTGTTTAGGAAAGGATTAGTTGTACCTTCACTTTTTCTCAGACGCGTTACATATAAAATCTCCTAGTTAAGCAATATCTTCTGTTTTTCTAAGAACATAGAAGGAACCAATTCATCTGCTATAATTCCATTAGCAGCTTAACTTACCAGCCTTCTCTGTCTTGTGTTTCAAACTTTCAGGTGCCGGAAGGCAGGGGCAGGGCCCTTCGCATCGAGCTGTGAGGGTTTTGCCAGTAGTACATGCATGAAACTCCAACTTGCACTAGAATCGTTAAAAAAAGCAAGAAGACATTTTGAATTAGGACCAGACATAAAAGCAGCAGCTGTGGATGAAATGAGAAATTGCATTTAGCAGTAATGACATTGGACAGACTGCAAAACTTCAGTCTATTGAAATGCCATTGTTTTTATTATTATGGGTAACAATAATAGCTACTTCCTATGCAGAGTTTTGCATGGGACTTGTAAATGTTCCTTGTAAAGTGTTATTTCCTGCTTAAATATATGGAATCTACAGCACAGAAAATTAAAGCAATTTCTTCCAGGTCCTATGAGATCTGTGGCACAGCTGGGAAGAATGTACGAGCCTCCAGAATCCCATGTGTTTCCTATGCTGCCTTCCCGTGTTTCAGGTGTGAAATCATGCCAGCTATTACCTCTTACCATTACTGATTTATTAGTTTGGCCTTTTGAGGAGCTGGGAGCAATGGGCTGTGTCCAAATACCATCCATGAAAAGAATACCAATCCTCACAATAGTGAGAAGCAAATCAGCTCATCAGTTGATGAGAGGTCCTTCAACATATTAGATTCTCTGAACAAGGGGGAAATCTTAAATGACTCCTACCAATAAACTGCTTTAACAGTTAACAGCACCACTCCTAAAAACAGCCATTCATCTTGCAGTCAGCTCCAGAAATACAACCAAACTGTAAAACTGAAGAGTGGAGATTAAACCATGAGCAGTATAGTTCCCTATATCTTCATATTGTTACTTTGAACCACAGAATTGTTCAAGTTGGAAAAGACTTTTAAGATCATCAAGTCCAACTGTTAACCCATCACAGACAAGCCCACCACTAACCCATGTCCCCAAGTGCCACATCTCCACTTTTCTAAATACCTCCAAGGGATTGTGACTCCACCGCTTCCCTGGGCAGTCTGTTCAAATGCCTGACAACCCTTTTGGTGAAGAAATGTTTCCTAACATCCAATCTAAACCTCCTCTGGTGCAACCTGAGGGCATTTCCTTCAGTGCCCTTCCTTGCACTGTTTCTGCTGCCCCATGCACTGTTTCCCACCATGTGGTGATGCTCCTGGTCACTGGTGCTCCCAATGGCTTCTTTTACACACGAGAGGCTGTCTTGCCTTGCTCCTGGCCCTGCCCAGGTCCTGTTGACCACTGTGACTTGAACTGGGGGCTTCTGACAGCACCTTCTGCTCCCCTAAGGTTCTCTTGGTTTGGGAACCCCCGGTGTGCACCATGCTGGAGCACTCACTGCTGATCATGCTGGCACTGGAGATGCTCATCACAGCAACCTGTTGTTTTCCCTTCCCTAAAAGCTCAGCAGATAGGATTTACAGCACCTCTTGACAGTCACCACATTCAAACCATTTAGGGCAGCAGGACATGCGCAGTATCGGACAGATGAGACAACTCAGGAGAATTTACATTACGAAAGCATGCCAGTTTAAAAGCCCTGATTTATAACATATTGACTGCTCACAGGCTTTGCTGCTTGCATTATATGTATTTTAGAGCTGACTTTCCTCTAACAGCTTTGTGCCTGTGTAAGTTGTCCTCTCTGCAGTTAGGGCCCAAAGGACGTTTTCCCCAGACCCAGGGCTGCTGGAGACCAGACTAACGTGCTAATAAAATGGAGTAAAAGAAAACAGCACACGGAAGCAGGAACGAAACTGTGTGTGCGAGGCGTTCTCCTTGGCTTGATACCTAATGAACTGAATTCCTTTAGGAGTTTTGTCATCTTCAAGCACTGATTTTACCAGATCAGCATCCAAGGGCTCTTAGTGCAAGGGGGAGTTTTGCCTGCAGCGCTGAGGCTGGCATTCATCCCTGCAGACTGCTTCCTGCCAGGGGAAACTGGAAACGCTGGGCTGTAAAATCCCTTTGATAAGGCTGAGTTCTGCTGTACATTAATTCTTGATCAATTAAAAGTAGGCCAGCTCGCTTACACAGTGTGACACAACATGCTCTGAAACGTGCAGCTTGTTTGAAGGCTGAAGGACATACAGTATCAGGAGATGGCGTGATCCAGTGAGGATGCAGTGGATAACTGGAGCTTGTCTAGCAACAGCCACTGATGAAAATCACAGCATCATCTTCTGTTATTTTGATACAGTGTGGGCCAAGAGAACAGAACAGGATGTTGTGACAAGATAAATGCCTCCTGCTTTGAAAGTACTGCAAATATCTTGGCTTTGCCTCTGTTTGTTTTTGTTAAAAGGGATCATCTTTGCCCAGGCTTTAATCTAGCAGCAGGAGACCATTATCCTGTGCCTACATCTGTTGACATTATCTCCTGGCCATTCTGAACTTCAATGCACCAGGGTGGCTGCATGCCCTGTGTGATGTTCTGCCCTTCTGATTCAGGAGATGCACGGCCACACACAAACACATGCAAAGCTTAGCTTGCACTCTGCACTAATTTCTTGCAAGACTGAAGGGAATATAAGTACTTATTATTCATCAGTTTACTACAAAAATACATTCTGCACAGAACATAAATGCAAGGAAAAGCACATCAGAAGGAAAGGAAATCAGAAAGGACAACACTATCTGAGTGCACAGTCCTGACAGCAATGCCTCTTTCTGCAGCGTATTCTGATAGTCAGTATGTTATTGAGAACACAGGCATAAATCTTCTTGCAGCTGAAGCTGATAATTTAATCCTTCAAAGAACATCAATTAGTACATATTTTATTATGTATAATAAATGTAAATTATGTATCTAAGCATTAACAATTATACTTCATATACTTCAAATACCACCCTTTAAGATGGTAAGGCCCATTTCAAGCCTGTTTTTTATGGGCACTTAAGAAAGAGTTTTATAATAGAAACAGCAAGGCAAGTTTTGCTTCAGCTTTGAGTAGTAAAAATGGCAACCAAAAAACTCAAAGTAAACCAAAAAACAAACTGCTTTAAAAGGGCTACTTCTATCATCTGAGTGTGCAGAGCAAGGAGGGCTAAACTTGAAGATCCCAACAGTACAATCACATGAGTAAATTTACATCTGTGATTAACCACATGATTTATATTACCACCATGCTTGTTTAAGGTGTTGGGTGTTAGTTTGTGTATGTATAGAATTGAGATGGCAGATTGGTGTTGGGGGAGAAAGATTAAAGTATTCCATTGTTTTAAATATTACATTTGGATAATACTCATTACTTCTCAACACCTAATCATTGTATGTAACTTTTTCCCTTCCCTAAAGAAAAACAGGAAGTAAATTTTCCATGTGATGGCATTCTTACTTGCTATATTAACCTGTATGAATAGCTCAACTTTGGATTTAATGACATTGCCTAAGCCAAACTAAGTGACAAGAGTCAGAATGGCCACAGATGATGTCTTGTGGAGCAATATCGAAGTCTTTGGACTGCTCAGCCACTGCATCTGCAGTCTAGAAGGAGCCTGCTGGCTTTTTCCAGACCATGAACACTGCATTTCCACTTCTGTGGAGAAAACCTACGTGCCCTCTTTCCTTTTGCCACCGTCATCTCCTTCTCACATGGAAATAAAAAGACACACAGTACTAGGCAAAACATTAAATGGAGCTATGATCCAACCTACAAGTCTTTCGCATCAAACAGACATTGCACGTTTTGCAGGTATGAATGATAAAGCTCCTTGTAGCAATTCTACAGTGGACTCATGGCAAGCAGTCACAGTTTGCAGCCAGTCCATCTAATTTCAGGGGACTCATCTCACTGCTGGTATCAATGTGCCTTGACTCTCTGCTGAGCTTTCCTCATAGCAGGACTCCCTGGGTCCTGCCAAGCTTCATATTTCTCTGCTACCTCCCTGATGTCTGAGCTGCGTTTGTTGACTATGAACCCCAAGGCCCACATAAACATCTCTAAACTGTTTTACTGCAAATGGAAAAGGAGCTCTGTTATTTGTGGCTAAATGCATATGGAGATCAATAAAATATATGAGGGGAGAAACGGTTGAACATATTCATGGAAAATTCATAAATTAATTTATTCAACTAAGATGTGGGGAATTATTGCAGAGTGTGTTTTGGCTCAAGTGTTCCCTTGAGAATCCACTACCGGTATAATGATTCCCTCTTTATTGTCAGTGCATCTACAGCAATGTGTTCTGCATAAGCATTCACATCTGAGGGAGGAAGAGAATAGCTACATAAAATTTATTCTGAGCTATTTTATTCTTGTCTGTCAGTCTCCATTCTGGAGTCCCTGCTAGAGAATAATCTGGATATTTTCTTAATGATGTAATAAAACGGTGTATCTCTGTCTTTATATGGGTTTTCAACTTTTGGCAGCCGGGTTTTGACGCATCTGCACATAAGAAATATTGTTGAGTAAGTTCCTGTGATCTTTTACACATCTAACTAATGAATGCCTACATGGACAGCTTAGCACATTAGTACCTGAGCTTTGAATCCTGGCACAAGGAACTGGCATATTTGATTAAAATGCATCAAGTAATGCAGCAGTGGGGTGAAAGACTGGTGGGAGCATGTAGGAATTAGAGCACAATATACATGATGAAGATAAAGTCCCATAACGTCTCCTTCTCATAAGGCTGAAAATTGCAATAGGAGGTTAAATTTTATAGCGAGCTAATTAAAACCTATGTTAAAACCCTGAAATGTTACATCTTACTAATAACAGTGGCTCTAAAATTCTGTTGATGAACAGTGTTCTTGCCTGGAAGACACTGCATCTTCTTTAGCACCCTGCAGCTTTTTACATTCCCACCGAGAATTAGTTCAGTGCAGTTTGTTTTATGGTGCATCTTTTGTTCAGTCACAATATGTCTCTTCTAAACTTCACATACAAGTAACAAAAGCTCATTATTTTCTACCTTATCTTTCACTCAGTACCTGCCAACGGCAGAAGCTAAAACTTTCTGAAATTACAGCATATATATATATATATATGTGACAGTTTCTTCATGTCAGAAGTCTTCTGTACCTATCTATCTCAGCAGATAATTAGAACCCATTGGAATTCAGGCACCCGTTTGAGAGGGGTTGGTTGTTTACAAGCT